CCAGGTTGGGGCTGGGGTCGGGAGAGGCTGGTGGGGCCCTGGCTATCTTGGCCCCCCTGACAGGGCGCTGGATACAGAGCCCAGAGCCCCCGCCAGGCCAGTTATCAGAGGCGGCTGCGTGCGTGACATCACCAGACCCAGGCTGGGCTCAGGGTGGGGGTGCCTGAGGCCTTCCCAGCCCACCCAGTGCCGGCTATCTGGGGTGGCCTCCCTGACAGAGGTAATTGCCCAGAACAGAGATAGAGGCTGGGAACACCGCGGCGGGGCCGGCTCCCAGCTGGGGTGGGGAGTGGCGCTGTGGAGCCTGCTGTGGGGGACGGGGAGGGGGCCAGTGTGAGCATTTCCCCCAGAGAGAGAAGAAAACAGTGGGCAGGGTGGGGGTGGGGATCAGGACGGCCGGAGCCCCAGGGTATTTGAGCGGCCTCGGCCCCCTGCCCAGAGTGCTGTCCGCGACCCCCGCTTTTGCCACGCCGGCCACACGCTCTGCAGGCCTGGCCTGGCGTGTGCTCTCCACTTGGAGGGAGCTGTAGGACAGGGGACATGCTGCTCCCAGGGCTGCCAGCTCTGCCCCGACTGTGGGTTTGGTGCCATGTCCAGAGTATGACCTGTGGCCTAGGGAGGGAGACGAAGACACCTGGTCTGTGCCCACCTGGGGCTCTGGGGCCCGGCCTGGGCTTTGGGAGAGCAGAGGAGCGGCCTGCCTCACCAGGTGGAGGGTCCTGGGACCCCAGAAGGCCCCTCTTCCCACACGAAGGGCCAGCCAGGGCCCCCACCCCGGACCCACCCAGCGCCTGCGGCCAATCTTCCTGCCAACTCTTGCAACACCCGTGTGGGAGCTGTGGCAGAAACCTGGGGTGCCAGCTCAGGCCCCGACGTGCCCCCGGGCCCCTCCTCTTCTTCTGTGGTGGGGCAGCCTGTACAAGACCCCGTGGGGCTCTGTGACTCTGTGGCCGTGGGTTCTTGGGAGGGTGGCAGTGGGCACTCCCTGGCCCTGCCCTGCAGGGAAGGCACTCCGTGGCCAGACCCTCTGCTATGAATGACCCCACAGAGGCCTCCGTCCCCCAGCGGGGCAGGGGTGAGAAGAAGGGGTCTGGGCCTGAACCAGTCCCTGACCCTCGGGGCAGCCTGCAGCAAGTCCACATCAGCCCCACATCCCAGTTTCCACCCCTGTGAACGGGACATCTGCCCGAGACCCTTGTCAGATGCATCGGGGCCCCCTCTGGGGGGCTCTGTGTCACATGTCTCTGTGAGAGAGAGGTCATAGTCCCGTAGGCGAAGGGGTTCAGGTGGGGCCTGTGGAGGGGCCCCTGGGTGCCAAAGGGAGACGGTGGGCTCTGCCCGGGCATGTCTGGGTCTCAGGAAGCTTCTCCAAGACTGGTGTGATCAGAGCTGGAGAAGCAGCAGGTCTGGCAGGTGAGTGAGCCCTGGTGGCCCCTCCAATCTAGCTGGACACCCCCAGGGTCTGTCCAGCCTGAGGCCCAGCCTCCGCTCCCCATCCTGCTCCTCCTGGGCAGGGGTGGGGGCCAAACTGAAGGCAGGCGGGCAGGTGGCCTGATTCCCTGGCATCCTGCTCTCTGCACAGCCGCCGCAGATGACAGGGGCCTTCCTTCCTGTGCGGCAGGTGATGAAGGGGCGACGGTGACGAGGGGACAAATGGGCCTTTTTCCTGTGGGGGGTGTTCTGGGCAGGGTCCTCGCAGGTGCTGGCCTTCACCTCCCTGCATCTACGCCAGGACCAGGCTCCCGCTGCTCTCCACACTGACCCCGGCAGGGCTGCCCCGCATGGTTGTGCAGGTTGGGTACTGCTCACAGGACGGCCACTTGTCAGGGCAGCAGCCCTGCCTTCATGGGGCATCTTTCTGAAGCACTTTCTAAAATGGCGTAAACCAGGCGTGGCGGCTCCCCCTGCCCACAGGCTGGAGCCCGAGCCCTCTGCTGGCTGCCACCTGCCCCCAGCCTCTGCACACCCACCCCTGTGGCTCTCAGCCTGGGTCTCCCTCTCCCTGTGAGCAGGCCGCGCTGGCTCCGTGTTCCCACTGCCTCTGTTCTTCCTAGAGCACCCTGGGAGCACAGTGCTGCCAGGCCCCTGGGACATCCTCGCTGCCCCAGGGTCTGTGGCTCTGCTGGGGCCAGGAGGGGCCTGAATCAACCCATGTTAGAGTCCCACAGACATGTGTGGAAGGCAAGGAGGAAGGGAGGGGCATGCGGCCATGGGAGCCATGTTTTGCCGGTGAGGGGACTCTGGCCTGGGGTGGTGAGTGGGTCGGGGGCCCGGGGAGCCTCTGGTCAGGGCCCAGCATAGTCCAGGAGGCTGAGGGCAGAACACTGGTGGAGCTCTGTCACCCCCCAGCTGGGCCTCCATCCCCACACCCCTGCCCTCTGCCTGGCAGTGCAGACCTTCTGGCCCTTACCCTCCCTCTATGCAGCGCCCCAGCACCTCCACACCCCCGCCTGGGCAGCGCCCACCCAGCACAGGTGCCAGGCCTGCCCTGTCCCTCAGGTACATCTCTGCTCAGCCCCTGCTCCTTGCCATGCTGGCCTTCAGTGGGTAGGGCCTGGGTCACCTCCTCGAAGGGACCTCCCTGGAGCTTCTGGCAGAGCCCATGTCTCCCTGGGCCTTGGAGGAGTCCTGATTGGCCTTTGTAGGGGCTAGCTGGGGGCCCAGAGATGCAGAACCGGGTTCCCTTATGGGGAAACCACACTTGCAAACCCCGTTGGGCTCTCAGGACTGCCCAGCTGCACGTAGCTGAGATGGTGCACATTTCCCGGGCAGGGCCCACTGCATGGCGGCTCATGCCCCCTGCAGCCAGGGTGCAGGAAGGGGCCCACTGCAGGTCACACCTTCCCATCTCTGGGCCCCCTCTTCCTTTCTCCCTCCTTCTCCCCAGCACACCGGGAACCCATAAAGAGGCCAGGGCCACTTGCGGACAGGGGCCAGGCCTTGGTGCCTCTGGGCCCAGAGCGACGGCTGGGGAGCCTGGCAGCTCTGTCCTCTCCTTATATTTGGCATAGGGGCCTCTTGGGGCTTGGGGTGCCTCTCAGGCCTCCACAGGTGTCCCTGAGGGTGGGCACAACTTGGGCTTCATGGAGCCAGCCTGGGAAGGAAACACTCCAGTGACTTGCCTCCCTGCAGACCCCGCCGGCCACGTGGCCAGACCCCCATCTCAGCCTCCTGGTGGGGAAAGCCACTGAGGGTCAGCTATGTGCAGCTGCTTAAGGGGCAGAACTGGTGGGCAGTGCGGGGTGGGGGATGCAGATGCAGCCAGTGGCCAGCCTTTAGGGGCAAGAGACTGGAGTGGGCCTCCAAGCCAGCTCCAGGAAGGGCGTGGCTGGGTTGGGCTGGCCTCTGGGCGGAGGAGGTGGGCAATTGCTGGTGTTCACACCCTGGCCACCTGCCACACCTTCCTCCTGGGCTCGGCATTTTCTCACGCTCAGAGCTGGCACCAGGGAATGGGCGACGCTGGGACTTGTCGTCCTGATCCCAGGAAGGTGGGTGAGGTTTTCCTCTGGGCCTGGGGGCAGGGGCTGCTGCAAGTCGAGACACGGCCTGGAGTTGGGGAGCTGGGCTGCAGCACCGGCTGGGCAGCTGCGGGAGGCACGGCCCACACATCATGTGTCCTGGCCGCCTGCCACCCCGCCCCCACCCCCGCAGTGGAGGGCAGAGAGCACGGGGCTGGAGTGGCAGGGGAGGTCAGTGACTGTCCTTTCCAGAGCTGGCCCCTGGCCCCTGGGCCAAGGCCCTGCCGCACTCTGGCCCTCAGTTTCCCCCTTTGAGATGGGGGATTGTTAAGGCTAACTGGGGTGCCTACAGGAAAAGAGGCACACCCAGCACTCAGCACCTTGTCAGAGCCTGGGATGTGGTCCACTTTGCTGGCCTGTTCCACCCTCTGGACGCCGGAGGAGGGACCATTTGGAGGCCCCAACAGGAAAACCATGCATGTGGGGTCATCCTTGTGTGCAGCACGGCTGTGTCTTTGGCACAGAAAGTCAGTTGTTCCTGCCCCTGATCTGACGGGCTTGGGGACAGAGGCCTGTGGGCCCTGATTCCTGGGTCTCCCCCAGCCCCAAGCAGAGACCTCGGGCCTGTCTGGCCAGAAGTGGTGGGGCTCACTTATGAGCTGAGAGCTGGGTGGAGGGCACCCCTCCAGTGGGGCCTGTGCCCCCATTCCTGCCCCTTCAGAAGCAGATAGACCCTCTAGTAACAGACCTTGACCCGCAAGCATATCGATTTCCTTTGCGGTCAGGCTGGAAGGTCTTCCCCCTATCCGCCCAGGTCCTGGGTGGCCTGTGGTCCCAAAGGTAAAGAGGCTTCTCTCCGGGCACCACCCTGCAAGGCTAGTGGGGACCCTTGGGAGCAGCCAGGGCCCTGTGCATCTCTGGCTTGTCAGCTTTGGCACAGTGGGATATGGGGGTGGGCATGGTGGGCTACAGGGCAGGCTGGAGGGGCACCTGTGGGAAGATTCCCCCTGTTCTGTTGTCATGAGGAAGCTGAGGCCCAGGGAGGTACAGGCCCGTGGTTGGGCTTATGAACCAGGCAGGGCTCCCTGGAGGCACTTGGCCTCTGTGGCCTCTGGGTGCAGGCTCCACAGTGCCCCTCCCTCTCTGCCACCTCACTGGGTGGGGAGGTGACACCGGGATCCAGGGCGCTGGGGAAGGGACCCCCGCCAGGTTAGGGGCTGCTTCTGCAAGGTCCTGCTGCCAGAGGCTGGGGAGGGTGAGACGCAGGCCCCCTGGGAGGCAGCCCCAACCCCACTGCCTCTGGCAAGCCCCCAGGCGGCCGTGGGAATGTGACTGGCGGGAAGGGGGCCTCTCCCCCAGGAATCAGCCTCTGGGCGGCAGCCAAGAACGCTCGGATCCAAAGAGGAAGCAAAGTTCAGCTGCAGCAACTTGACGCGGAGCCTCTGGGAGGCAGACGAGCTGCTGGGGGCAGAGGCAGACCGTCCAGACCCGGCCCGGCCAGGCTGAGCCCTGAGCCCAGTCACCCCAGCTGTAGACTGAGCCATGGCGCGCCACAGAGGGACCCATCCCCGACCCCAGCCAGAGTACCGCCCGGGCGCAGGCACAGCCCAAGGCTGGCTGCAAACAGAGCTTCGGCCTCGCAGCTGCGGATCTCCAGCTCCGACCTGTCCGCCTCTGGCTCTTCGCATGCTCAGCCCCCAGACTGAGACCCCCCGGGCCGCATTAGCAGAGGCCAAGCCCCTGGACCGGGAAGGTGACTGCTCTCTCTGCTGGGTGTTGTGTCTCCTCCTGGTCCTGTGCTTTCAAGGGGGCCTCAGACCAGCTAGAGCAGGTGCAGAAGGCAGCCAGGGCTGGCTGGCATGGAGGCGGGAGGATTGGGCACCCCAGGGGGACCCTCTGTGTGCCAGCCTGTCACCTCCAGCATCTTGAGTCTTTCCAGGCAGCCCTGAATGTTGGGGAGCACCCACCCTGTTTGTGGGAGCGGAACCTGGCTAGACCGAGTCAGTGATTTTTGGATGTGCACAGCACACAGCACACGCTCCATCAGATGGACCTGTGGGAGCCAGGGCACCTTCCTGGGGATGTCCAAGGAGACACCCGTGGCTGCAGGGCGCCACGGGGCTGGGAGACAGAGCCGGGTCTGTGCCCTGGCTGGGGGTCAGCCTGGGCTCCTAGGCCCCTGCAGCCACAGCGCGGGCTCCTGAGACTCTCAGGGTCCAGGCTGGGATCCTGCATCTGATCTTAGGGCCTTATCGCCACCTGTTTGCGCATCGAGAGTTCCAACCGGGCTGGAGGTCACAGGGGTGTGGGGAGGGGCTGACAATATTTGCCCAGTTTCTCCCAGCAGGGTTATAAACAGCACTCTCAGCTTGGACCGGGCACCAGACGCCAGCTGGTGAGCCCATGGTGTCGACCCTCCCGTCTCCCGGTCTGGCTTCTGGTAGTAGGTGCGTCCAGAAGGGCTCTTTCTCATAAGAAAGCCCCAGGTAAGGGCTGCCCCGCCCTGCGGGGCTCAACCGCCCCCATGCTGCCCGCTGCCCAGGGTCACACCTGGGTGGTGGGGAGTCTGCTCGGAGAGCCCAGTGCCGGGCTAAGCCCCCTGCTGCTGCAGCCACTGCATGGAGCTGGCACAGCAGTACCCCAGGAGCAGGTGGGCCCGGCCCCAAGTCAGAGCCCACCCAGGGCACCCATGCTCTGCCCAAAGCAGGCGGTACAGCCTGGTGGCGAAGCATCTGGAAGGTCCCACGAGCTTGAGTGGTGTGTCGCTCTTGCAGCCTCAGTTTCCCCAGCCACTAAATGAGGGACTCGTGGGTCCCTCATCAGAGTTGTCGGGAGACTGATGAGGTGCTGGGTTCCAGCCCCCAGCCTCCGCAGGGGCCCTGAGGGTGTGGTCGGGTGGGCGTGTGCTGCTCCCAGGCGCTAGCCGCCGCCTACGGGAGGCCACCGGTGCTGGGACTCCTCCAAGCACGGTCAGCAGACTGGCCCCCAGCTCCTCCCCAGCTGCCTCCAACCAGGGCCCTTTTCCTTTCCGGCTTTAATGGGGTTTAATCATCCTCATCACCCAGTTTATGGAGCTTCTGGGTCACTTCAAAGCCCTTCTGGCACCAGCCGCTTAGAGAGCCCTCCCCACGCCCTTGCGATGGGCTCCTGCCTGCTGCTCCCTGAGGCCGATGCCGCCCGGGCCACCTAGTGAGCTCTAGGGCTGTGGGACCCTGGTGGTGGGCCAGGGTGATGCCCGGTAGGCTCCGTGTCCCCGAGAGCCTTAGAGGAGCAGCCGGAACTGCACAGAGTCATCGCCGTGTCCAGCTGGCGCTGTGCAGAGCCTGGACCCAGGCTCACAGGTCTCGGCAGGCAGGTAAGGGCCCAGGGTGGCCGATGTGGGGTTGGGCAGCTCAGGAACCAGGCTGCAGGGCAACCTGGGTCATCCCAGGTCCTCCCCAGCCCCTTCCTCCACAAAAACACAAAAACAGTGAAAATTAGATTCTATGGCCACACTAGTCTAAAGGTAAGTATATTAGTATTATATATTAAAGCATGTTCTTATTCTACAAGTTTGGTTTTCCTCTTCCTTTTAAAAGACATTAAAATATTTCCCTGAGCCCCTGAAAGTCTCTTGGGCCCTGGGCCTCATGGGGAAGAGACCTGGCCTGGTCTGGGAGGCAGGGAAGCAGCTCAGATGTGTCCCCAGAGCCCAGAACCAGACCCCAGAGGGGCCAGCATGAGAGGTGGGGGGCAGGCCAGCATGCAGGCTCCTGGGGGGGCATGGAGCCAGGGGTCCCGCAGCCTCCAGGCAGGGAGCCGCCCGGCTCCATGGGGCTGGAGTTTGTTGGCGCGGAGGACCACGGGAAGTTGAATCAGGAGTGGACGAGGTCCAATCTGCATTTCAGCGGCTGCTAGCCTGGCCGGGTTGGGGCTGGCGGGGGCGGGGGGGCATAAGGTGGGCATGGGGGGCTGAAGCTGCAACCTGCAGTTGGGGGAAGGGGCTGCTGCAGGTTCTGGGAGTGAGGCAGGAGTCCCAGGAGGGAAGGGGCTGGCAGACAGTGAGGGACAGGTCAGGAGGCTGGCATGGCCCCAGGCCTCAGTTTCCCTGTCTGTACAATGAAGGCTGGGCTAGATGGTCTCCAAGGAGGATCCTGAAGGCCAGGGAAGGAACTGTGGGCTTGGAGGAAAGGTGGGTATCATCCGAGTGGAGGGACCTCACCCAGCTTTTTAGGAGAGGGGAGGGGTAGGACTGGGGGAGGCACGCTGCACCCCTGCACTGTGGCTTCCCTGCTTTCTGCCCTCCCCACTCCTGGTGCTTCCTGCTCAGGGACCAGCAGCCTTTGTGGTCCCCCAGCTTTGTGCAAAGCCCCCCTTCCCCCCTCACTTCCTTGGCCAAACTGCCATCAGTCAAGCTGGCAACACCTGCCACTCTGGGGTTCTAGTTCCTCTGCCCTCCTCTGGCTGGGACAGTGCCTGCCTGCCCTCTGCTGGACTCCGGAGTGCCTAGCCCCTACACCCCGGTCCTCTGAACTCTGGGGGGGCCCCGAGCAGAACACTTGCCAGGAGGAGCCAGGCCCTGCGCGGCCTGACAGGGGAATTATCATCCATCTCACAGAAAAGAGAACTGGGGCGCCCTCAGATTTTCCGACCCAAGCCTTCCCCTTGGCTTTGCACCTGCAGGGGTGGGGGGCGAGGGGCACAGAATGGACCCCCTGCCGCTACCTCGCCCATCACTCGCGGTGGAGGGAGGGTGTGTGTCTAGGAGCCTGGCACCCGTGTCAGGGCTGGGGAGTGGCTGCCCGAGAGGGTAGGGGTCGGCGTGCGGTCACTTGGGCAGGAGTGGAGGGAGCTGCGCCCCGCTCAAGGCTGTCCGTTCTGGAGCGCCCTGCGGGGCTGAGGGAACCTGGAGACCAGGGTCCTCACTCCGGCACTACCCCGTCCAGCTTTCTGCTCTGCACCTGCGGCGCACCGAGTGCCAAGTCCCAGGGATGGGCCGGCCTGGGATGGGCCTCTGCACCTTCCCAGCCCTTCCTTTCCTGGCAAACAAAGGCCCTGCTGCCCGTATGCTGCTGCTCTGATTTGTTTGGGCCGCGGGAGGTGTGTGGCAGCAGGCCCCGCCCACCGCGGTGCAGCAGAAACGCCCCTGACCCTGCAGGGCCCCTCCCTGCTCCCTCCGCAACCCCCACCGCACCCCAAGCCATCTCCCCGCAGCCCCACGGCCTTGGTACAGGCTGCCCCCCGCCAGGCTGCCTGTGGGCGGAGGGTCCACAGCGTGCCGGGGGCGGGGGTGTCACAGCTCAGTCCCCAGGGGGAAGAGGACCTGGGGTGAGGGTGCTGGGATAGACCTGGGGCCTGGGGGACACGTTAGCGCTCCGGTCCCGGGGGAGGAGGGAAGGGTCCGCTCCCTCGGCATAATGCCACGCACGGCCCTCACCCCATCTCCGCTCCCCAGTTCCAAAGCTCAGGCCCATCCTGCCGCCCTGAGTGGGGACCCACCCGCTCTGCCCTGCCCTCCTGGGCCCTGAGCCCCCAGACTCCTCCCGGCTCCCTCCCCTGCTCCTCTTGGGCTGGGCTCCACCCCCACCGCTTTCCCCGGATCTGCGGGCAGGTCCCGGGCTCCCCCTTCTGCCTCGCCTCACCGGGCCACCCCCGCATCCCCGCCTCGCCCCCCTCCCCAAGCCTGCGCCGCGGCGATTAATGAGTGACCGTGGGAACTGAGGTCGGCCAGGCCGGGAAGCGCCTCCGCACCCCAGACCCGCGCTGGGGGCTCAGCCCCAGGCCGGACCCACCGTCTCCAGCCGTTTCCAGCACAGCCCCGTGCCCGCCCGCTCCCCGCCCCCTGCAGCCGGGGCTGTTCCCCAAGCTCCTGGCGCCACCAGCTGGCCAAGCGCGGGCTGCGGGGCTCCACCGGCTCAACTGTGGATCGTTGACGCCCACGTGGGAGCCCAGGTGCGGAGAGGGACCCAGATGGGGAGGGGCTCGCGAGGTGAGGGCGTCCGGGTGGTTGGGGGTTTGGGAGGGGAGGGCCAGAGAAGGCCCGCGAGGCCGTGGGTTGTGTGAAGAGTGTCGGCAAGCACGACACGCAGCCCTTCCTGGGGCCGCGCTGACTCCCGGTGGCAGCAGGTGGCTCCGCTGGGGGGCCGGTTCAGCCCCCAGTCCGGGAGGGCCCAGGGCCGGGAAGGGCACCGGAGATACAGGACCCCAGGCCTGGGCGAGGGCACAGCTGGGTGTTCTCTCCCCTCAGTCCTCCAGGACACTCTGGGGCTGGGACTGCGGGCCCTGCGTTCCAGACCTGGCAGCGTCCCCACCCGCTCGGTGCAGGACGAAGAACCCCCAAGACCTCCCTCTCCAGAGAGAGCCTGGTTCCGAGTAGAACACTTGGTAGGGCACAGACCTGCCCACCCTGGGGACCCAAGCTGCGTGGGCAGTGGGGCGGAGCCCCTGGGCCCCTGGGGGTGGGGGTGGGGCGCTGCCGAAGAGGAATTAACCCAAAAGCAGTAGAAGAGATAATAAAAATAAGAGTACATATAGATGAAATAGAAAATGGACATATAGAGAAAATTCAATGAAACCAAAAGCTGGTTATTTGAAAAGATCAATAAAAGTAATATATTTCCAGTTGGACTGATCAAGTATAATTAACAGAAGTCACAGATGACCTATGTCAGGAGTGAAAAGGAGGCTTTACTTCGTATCCTACGGACAGTGTGAGAACAATATTTCAACATGATTATAACTTGACTAAATATGTGACAATTTAGATGAAATGGAAAAATTCCTTAAAAGAAACAAATGATCAAACCAGGCACAAAAAGAAATCCATAATCAGAATAGCCCTGCATCTATTAAAGGCATTCAATTTATAATTTGAAATCTTATCACAAAGAAAATTCTTGGCCAAGATGGTGTCACTGGTGAATGCAGCTGCCTGGCTGTGTTTTCTTACATTACATATATATACGTGACCGTGACAATACTATACACAGCAGTAGCAGTCATATAACTCTATTTTGGGCTCCCAGATTCTGTTACAATGTGTAATGTGGGATGGGGTCTTCCCACACATAACAGGGAGCAGTTCTCAGACACCAGCAGGGGGTCCCAGAACTCAATTCTGAGCTGTCTGCCTGGAGACGGCACCAGATTCCCCAGGCTCAGGGCCCCGTCCTACAGGACTGCCCTCCACCCCCCACTCCAGATGCCAGTC